ATACATAATTCTCAGAAGTTTTCGATCATTTTTTCGGCGATGGATGAAGGTTATTCAGTAGCCAGCCAACATCAACTTATTTTCCTTGTTCAGCAACAAATTGCTTTTGAAATAGATGGAAACATCCCACGTTTTCACTTTCTTTCTCCCTTCCTTTTTTGGATAAACTTCAATTTCACAAGTGATAACCATAGTGAGCTGCTCCCAACCAACATTTGGCTCTCGTTCAAATCCGTACATTTTTCGACGGATAATAACTCGAAATTGAATTTCCCAACTACAAAAACCGGTGCGGCAGAATACACGATAGGAATGCGAAACATTAAATAACATTATTATCATCAGTATTTTATGATTCAAACATAAAATGATAATGTGAATGAAAAATTTATAAAAATGTTGGAGCAGGCAAAAATAACCATAAGTCATCCTTTCGCGTGTTTTCAACTTCCAACGATCGAGTTGGAAAGAAACAACAACCACATTGAGCTCTTTAGGTTCTTGCTGAAACACCAAATGGAAAGTTACACAGTGTGAAGAGAAGGACATACAGAGAGGAAAATATTCTGAGTGTCACATTTTCACTTCAAATGATTCATTTATACTGTTACAGAAACTTGGTGACCTGAACACATGAGCAACTACTTTCCTCTTTTTTGTTTTGTTTTAAAAAAGCATAAAGAAGTATCAATTATCCATACAGACAAACTTCCGCTCCGTCCATGACTTGAAGATAAAAAAAGAACTTGTAATAATTCAGTGAAAGTATAAGAATGTTTACAAAGTTATTCGACTTAATTGGATTCTTTCAATTTTTATTAGAGAAGAATTTTACCCACTAAATGCTTTTACAGCTCAGCTCAAAAGAGAATCGAAACTACGAACGAATAGGAGCATGGAATAGAATATAAACCCGAGCATCGAAAGAAGGGGAAAAAAGAGTCTGATATAAACGCTGGATGAAGCATCGCATTTTTCTAGTTGATATATTTTTTAATTCGATTTTTCTATCTTCATTTAAAAAAAATAGCTGCTCCATTATTCAATCTAAACTGTACATTTCGTATGCAGTTGTTGTATGTGTGCATGAAGGGAATGGCCGTGACACCTATGCCTACATTTGCAGCATATTAATCACTAATATAAGTTAATCGAATGTAGTTGCAATGTGCATAGTGATGTGATGTGATGTATATGTGTGTGAGTGTGTGGGAGAGAGAGTCGCATCGTTTCATCGAAGCTGTAATCTAATGATCCAAACAAGATTGATGTCAGGGAATTAGCGTAGCTAAAATAAACAAAACCTCTCTGTCTCTCCCTATCTCCCTCTCCCTTTCGCTCTGGATGAAAAAACGTCGATGCCAAAAGCCATGTACTTGTAATTCTTCGGTGTCAAAGGATCACTGAAAAATGGTGCAAAAATTAATTATCGCCATTGCCGCAATAAATTTACTTTTCGATTGAAATTCTGTAGGTGGGAAAATTTTACGATCCGATTTTTAATTCAATCTCTTCATTCTACAACAAACACGACGATACAATGTACTTTCTTCGCATCGTTGTTTCATTCAGTTGCGCGGTCGCATTCGACACTTGCTACAGATTGCATGCGAAGCTTTGCTTTCGATACGACGAACAAACACAAATACAAGAAGACAAAGCTTCAAGTAGACCTTCGAGCTGTGATTACTTTGAAGGTGAAAACTTTTTATTGGATTTACTAGAACCCAAGTCAATTTTGAATGTGTCAAAGCCATTGAAAGCAACAATGGCTCTGGCTCTGGCTCTGGCTCTGGCTCTGGCTCTGAATTTATTCACTTGCAGCACGCTTGATGTATTACCACTGCTGTCAATTAGCATTGAATTTATGAGTTCATTTATTTTGTGTTTGGTGTTTCGTCATGCTTGCACAATGCATGTTAGCTTATATTTCCTATAATTAATTAGCACCGGAGTCATCACATATCCTTGCTCCATGATAATCATAATAATAAATACGCAAGGTAAAGATAGAGAATAAAAAAAACGACAAAGGGGAAGAAGCAAAAAATGAATCGGTTATTTTAATCTCTTTCACCGAAACCGGATTAAAGTGGTCCCGATAAAAACACTTATGCCAATGAATCGCGCCCATGTGTGTGTATGCCTGGTGAACGTAACTTCTAATGCTTAGTCATAATGATATATATTCAATGGATTCGGATCTACTTAATTTTTGCCAGCGTATTATGTGTTTAATTATCACAAATGGATTTTTCATCCAAATACACATTATATTTATATTTATATCTTATTATACACAGGCGTATGAAAATATATCGCATTTTCCAATGAAAAACATTCAACCAAACGCAAATGCATGTATGGTACTTCGGTATTTATCGTTTAATGCGCTCTTTAGCCGGCTTAAGTGGCAGTATTCGGAATCGGTTTTCCATGGAAGCACAAATAAAAGGCCTTTTGTCTCCATATCCATCATGGCATATGATGAGGCTATGCACGGAGTATGGGGTGAATAATATTATATTATTATTTACCGACTAATTAATGAATTAGATCAGATCACATAAAGTTCGTGTATGTATGTCTGTATATATGATCGAGTCAATTAAATCAGCAATGCGCTCATGTTGCATCATCATCATCAGCATCACTCCGCTGTGTATCACTCTGGTGAGCGTTTCAAATTATTTCCCCACTCTTTCACTCGTTCCATACAAATGACCATTTTTCAAACATCATACGTGTACAATGAAAATGCGGGCTTAGCTTTTGTTGTTGGCAGTTTCAATTTTCGCATCTAAACCTAAAATTCCTTTGGTGATGGCAAAACCCCATTTTAATCTGGCTCCTTTCACTGTGCAAGAAAAGGTTTGCCATTTTCGGAAACAATAATGAATTCCTAATTCAAAGCCCGAATTTGCTTTGAAAATAGAAATTCCGGCTCCGACAATCACAAGCTACTTGAAAGGATAAACACTTATCAAGCGTTCTTAGATGTGTGTGATTGTCGTCTTTTGAACATTATCCAAGCTAAAATCCACGTGCAAGTGAATTAGATCCAAAGCTTTAGCTCAACGGTTCTAATGAAAGGGTGTTCATTCAGCACGAAAGCAAGAACACAAATGAAGAAGATGTTCCAGTACAAAATCTCGTCATCTTTCTGAAGTGATAGGCCGAATAAAGAGAATCAGCCTCCATAGTCCAGTCACTTTACGTGTTTTACCGAAATTAAATTGTTCGGTTTACCGTTCAATATGCATGAGCAATATGCATTTGTTTCAACACCAGGGCTGGAATTCTAAGAATTCCACCAAAATCGTTCGGAATTATTTTTTTCGTACATAAGACCATATTGGAGTGAAAGAGAGAGATTTCACTATTTTTCTGCACTCCACCGGAATTATTCCGATTCACTCCAATATGGTCTTATGTACGAAAAAAATAATTCCGAACGATTTTGGTGGAATTCTTAGAATTCCAGCCCAGACTCGTTTAATATGCAACCGGCCTTAACTTTAGTGGAGAGCAAATGCGTATAGAGTGGACAGATCATAGGTAAAACAATCAGACAGACCGACCATCATAAAATATTAGTGGGTGTTTATTGTCAACAATAACAGCAATTTATGTGACTTTGAAAAGTTCAACGAAAAAAAGTACACACACACACACCAGCACAGTTAATTTTTTTTAGCTGTTTTCTGTTCGCCGATGTCGCTTAATTGATGACATTATTCCGTGTTGTGTCCGTTACGAACTAGTGGTGGTGGTGGTTTTATGGAAGAAAAACGTATTTATTTGGGTTGAAACACCTCATGAAATGGTTTGCAATGCGTGCCAAGGCACACCGTCGCATTTGGCTTTTTTCCTTTCTCTTTTGCTTTTTTATTTGTATTTGCACGAGTCCAATGCTCCTGTTACCGTTTCAACGTAAGAGGGAACGAGGCAGAAAGCGAACAAAAAATTATGAATTTAAATTGTGTTTTGTATTTAGAATGATTTTTTTCCTTTTGTCATTTATTTTCTATCGATTCGAGTACACGCCACACATAGCGCAAGGGTGGGTGTGTATCGGTAAACTGAGCAAACAAATGTAATTGCGTTTCCATACAAATGTAGAGGGAGAGAGAGAGAGAGAGAGAGAGAGAGAGAGAGAGAAAAAGTAGAAAAAAAATAATGAAATAGTTGACTGAGCATTCATTGAAATATCGTGAGAATGGAGCGAGCGATAATAACGCTAATTTACACATTGCCTGTTTGCATGTGTCCACCTGGATCTTTTGTAATATGATTCAAAGTCGAACAAAAGGATTAATTTATGTTGAATTCAAGTCGCTCCCGATGAACAAATCGAAAATGATTTGCATCATTAATCATTTCCTACCATTTTAATTCCAATTGTTATTCGTATTATTTTTCTGTGGTCGTCGTCGTCACCATCGGTGTTTTTTTTTATTAGTTACCATCGCATGTGCAAATAGAGATCAATTGTACGGAGCTAACAAAATGTGTTATCGCAATTGTATTGTCTCAGACAATCATTGGCAATGCTACCGAAAAATGTTCTGTTCCCTGTTCACTGACGGTGAGCAACATTTCATTTTTGTTATTCGGTTTGTTTGTATTGTTCGTTTGATAGAGAGAAAAAATGTTGTGTTTAATTTGTGACACAGAGCCCGTTCGTTGTTGCAGAGCCAAACGGCTTTGTAAATGGTCTCATTGCGACATAGGTAAACATTTTAGGCTCATCCGGCTTGAATCAAGTGAACAAATTAATATGCCATATGACAGTAAGCTTGACCATATCAATATTAATCAGCTCCGTTTCGGGTAGTTCCAAATAATTAACATTTACTAAATAGTTCTGTTGTCCTCCCTTCGCGCCACACATTCGGTGGTCGATCGAAAGCTGCCAAAGCCAAAACTCACCGTGTATAAATGTGTGTGAACACATCTGTATCTTATATTCGATGTATCTTTTTTTTTCTCTTTCGCAGCAATGAATGGATAACAAACAACATGCTCGTGACCGTTGGGTTGCGGGAGTCAACTGGAATAAAAACAAAACTGCATGGGTTTCGAAATGTTGTCGCTGAGTTTCACTGTGCCGCTTACGGTTCTATCATTGATAGCATTGTGTATCAACATTACCATTCTGTTGATTGTGATTTTGTGCAAACAGGTAGGCAAATCAGTAAGAGGCTAATTGCCGATATCTCCGATTGTGTGCAATGTACTGTACCAGCACCAATGCAATCAACGCAATAATATTCTACGCACAGAAAACAAATTGCTAACGCGATAAAATGGTTTCGTTTTGTTGTTGTATCCCATCTTACAGGTGTCACCGAGCAATATTTTGCTGTTTCATCTGGGCATTATTGAATCGCTGTTGTGCATTGTGTTCTTGGTGTTTTCAGTGCCACTGTTGACGCGTAGCGATGAAAATGCAGCCGTGAATTCAATATGCAAACTTGATGCATTCTTTTTGACACTTTTACATCCGGTTGCCCTTTGGACGGTGTGTGCTCTCAATTGTGATCGATATTATGCAATATCAGCTCCGCTCCACTATAATGCCATCGTCAGTTCGAAAAAGGTGAGAAAAAATTGAAATACAATTAAGTAAAATTGAAATGAATTAAGTTTATCGAATATTCGATGGCAACAGATTCGTTTCATTTTACACTCTAAATTCTTATTTGCTTTTAAATTTGAATGAAGCATCTTCTCTTTTTTTGCATAGTTCAAAAAGCCATTTAAAAAAAGACAGCCGAGTGAAAACATTTTCGGTGTTTTTCCACGTTTTTTTTTTCTCGGTTGTATTGCTTTCGAATGATATTTTAAGAAACGTTCTTCGACGAAATGATTAGCATATTGTGCTGAAAGTCCATTTTTTAACTAATTAAAATCGAATACACAGCAGTGTTCCACTGTTTGACCCTATCCAATAGCAGTTTCGATGGCGGGGGAAGATGAAACTGTCATAAACAGCGAGAAAAAGAGAGAAGGAGAGAGAGAGAGAGAAGGAGAGAGAGAGAGAATTGGTCAAAAATTCGGAAAGTTAAGCTCTCCGTTCTCGCCTCTTTTCTCATTAGACTCCAAGACAGATTAAATTTATGCCAAAGGTTGTTTTGATTTAACATTTCAGGTAGTTTGTGGTTTGGCCTGCGGTTGGTTTTTGGCCATACTTGGAACAATTCCGCCGCTTTTCGACGTTGCACCGTATCGACTGTACAGAGACATTGGAATTTGTGTGCCACATTTCTCCAGTGCAAATTCATTGTGGTATGCAATCACATTCTCAATATGCACATTCATTATACCCGGATCATTAATTATTCTGTGCAATGTAAAGGTGAGAGAAAGAGCGACTGACCGTAATTCAATCAGTTTTGTTAATTTGTGTGCCCTTTTGCGTATTTTTTTAAATCGTTTATCGCCATTTTGTACAGTTGCTATAAATAAAACTCGTTGTGTTTGTATGTTTTTTCTTTCCGTTTGGGGGGATGCTGTCTCTGCAATCGCCACTGTATGCTGCCAACGATGATAACGACAGGTGTTTATGATAGCCCGATACCATCGGCATCGAATTGCAGCCGCTATTTTTGAAGTGACCCTGTCAGCACAAGTGACGATAACACATCAACGAAATCCATTTCCATTGCCGTTTGAGGCAATCCCACCGAAGCTGCGGGCACGCAGCCCATTGACTAGTGTTTTCCAAATCGTTGGCTCATTATTGCTATTGTATTGTCCGTATTATATCACCATTCTATGGAACAGTTCATTGGGTTCTATTTACGATTGGAATGTGCCGAAATCCATGGAAATCCCATGCTCTATCATTATTCTAACATATACGCTCATGCACCTCACGGTGTTTGTCAATATCATTATCTATGGGCTGAAAAGTAAAGTGATGCGAAAATCGGTGAAAAACTATTGGCGCAAGCAGAAAACCAAAAATGAAATAAACAATGAGATTCAAGCGAGAACACCATCAACCTGCGGATCACGTCGACCGTCAATTAATGCACTGAATCTGGGTCGATCCATTTCCAATCGACGTCTATCCGAAACCTATGTCAATTTAACGCAAATGGGCAACGGAACACGACCGCAAATGAAACGCATCGCATCCGAATTGTCATGGCAACCGCTTAATCGTAATTCACCCGTTGAACTACTACCGCATGCGGCCAGTGCAAACACATTGCAAATACCACACAACGAACTTGCTGAAGATTTGATCGACGAGGGTAAAATCAATTTCGATTCATTTCGGACAACAGTCAATTCAGTCAATGACAAACCATTGATCGTACATTCACTTTCGACTGTATCACTGCAGAGTGCCACTTCTAGTCATTCCAGATCCAATTTCGATAAATTACCATACTTCCAAAGTACATGCAAGGAGGTTCGACGATACCTACAAATTGGTACACGAAAAGTATTTCGCATCGAATTGAATGATTCGTACAAACGTAATGAACCCGTTTCACCGTTGCGATCACCGCAAATTTTGATAACCAGCGCCTATTCGGATGACAGCGATCCAAATGTACAGTCATCGCCCATTGTACGACCGAAACACAGTGAAGAAAAACTCTTTACCGAGAGTGTTTTTGGGCAAAAAGGCAGCCAACAAATCACCGACTACGATGCTAGGTCTGATGATAGCGACGACAATTTTCCATGTGAAAATCTCTTTGCAACCAATTCAAAACGCTGTTTATCGCTGGAAGAACCAGAGTTGACCAAATGCATCAGCCCAAATGGTGGTGACATTGAGGAGCCATTGCTACTGTCTTGGCCGACCACACGCAAAAAGTACAAACATGGACCGAACGTGAATCCAATTTTCACCGATCGATGCGATGAGCCTGAAATCGTTTTGTAAATAGATTTTTTCCGGTTTTCTCTCAATTTATTGCTAGTTGATTTCCGTTTTCTAATTTTGGATTATCATCATCATTTGTTCCCTTAGCAAATAATTGTCAACATACGTTTTAGATTAAGAAGAGAGACTTATCAAAATGTTTTTTGTTCCTTTGTCGATGTACAATGTAAATGGTGAATGGATGTGTGAAATTCAGCAGAAAGTAAACGAAAATGTGCCACAAGTTGATATAATTATAAGGTGAAAAAAAAGACAGCCTCCTCTTTATTGAATGAAAGACAACACTCTAACTGATGAGAAATGCTTGTGTGCGATGTATATGCGTGCGTGCGTGTGCTGTGACGCACACTGGTGTGCGGAATTCCAACGCTTGGACGCTTTTTATGCAATTGATATTGCCTCCTCCCTTTATGGGCCATAAAATGTGTGAGCTCGTGAACATACAACTCCAGTTCTATCTTCTAATGTCAAAAACCCACTCAGATGCATTTGTTTTTATTTGTGTAGCATATTTTTTTCATTTATCCATCATTTTCTTCACTTTTTTATGAAATGTATTCTATCATAATTTATGTGAAATGTCACACACAAATTCAACCGTTGACCTGACTCACTCTCTCTCGCCCTTTCTTTCTCTATCGACATGCTTCCACAATAAGAAAAAAGAGTATATATACATATATTTAAAAGAAATCCATATTCAGATTTACCCAAACGATTTTTACTTCGATAGAAAGAGAAAGAGTGAGTGGTGATTGCAGAGTAACACATTGGTTGCGAGCGATTGATCAACGTCATTGAGTCGTAAAGATGTTCAATCACAAGGAATCGGGATGAATGACATTTGTTAGACGCGTGAGTGCACTTTGGAAGTATTCAGCTGAATTCGATCCACGTTGAAAATGGAACGTGAATCAGAGAAGAGAAGAAAAAAAAACAACAACAACAACAGCCGTAGCAGCAGCAGCAGCAGCAGCAGCAACAAATTGAGAGCTAAAAACTCTGCAGCAAAAGAAAATGACGCGCAAGTAGATACGGCAAAGTATACGCATATCATAGCACGATGAATAATTCAATGTGAAACACATTGAAATTGAACGCGTTCGCGGTTATAATATGGTTACATCGTTGAGTATCGCATAAAGAATACCGAACAATAACGGCTCAAGTCCCCTCCAAAAAAAATTTCACATAAATTTTTGTTATTGTTATTTCTCATCTTTTGTTCCTTGAACATTTTCCGTTTTAGCTCTTCAACCATTGAATAGCACGTGAAAAAAAACCGCCACTGAACCTTTATCCCCGCAAAAATACCTATAGATGTGTAATTTTTTTTTCGAAAAAACAAAATAACTAAGTGATTTTTAAACTTCTCTACCTCAAAGAAATAAATTATACCACATTATTATGAAGACACGCAAACTCCACAGCAACAGAGCGCGGAAAAACAATACGTGACAACGACGAAAGACACACAAGAAAAAAAGTGAAAAACAACGTAAAGAGAATTATTATGGAGTTTCACCATGTTACACAACGCAAGCAAATAGATTAGAGAAATAAAAGATCTAGGCAAATTTAAATAAACACAAGACATGCCAATGCACTTTATGACGAATATAATCTAGAGAGACAGAGGCACACTGAGAGAGAGAGAGAGAGAGAGAAAATTACGCGCGGATTACTTTCATTCACGTGGAAAAGTCATAGTGAAATTGTATGCCAATGGAAAAAAAAATCATCATGTAAAAAGTCAGCGGGCATCAATCAAATTGAGCGTGGGTGTTACAAACTCGACAGAATCGGTAAAATGAAGATGACAACGTCAATGTTTTTGTAGCAGACCAGAGCGCAAACCACGAACGAATGATAGAAAAAAATTAAGTGAAATTGTATTTTAACGAACGACATTGATGCAATAAACATGTGTATTTCGTGTCGAAATATCGATGTCAGACAATTCGCACATTATTTTTTCCCCCTTTCTTGACTTGTTTTCATTCTTTTTTTCTCTTCATTACGAATGCAATTCCATTCGGCTGAAGAGGGACACAAAAAAAATTGTTCTACCTTATCGGTCATAGTGCAGATTTTGCATGACATGAAATCGAAATAAATTTTTTTTCAATATTCATATTGTGAATACAATGTGAAAATGTGTTGTAATTTATTTTCTTTTCTCTCTCTCTCTCTCTCTCTCTCTCTCTCTCTCTCTCTCTCTCTCTGTGTGTGTGTGTGTATGTGTGTGTGCTTCAAATGCTCGAATGCTTGTCATGCAATTTATAAGAATATTTGTTGAGTGTGTCATCGCTTTGGCTTAACATGGATATTATATGCTACATAGTGCTCAGTTCAACAGGATTAAATACGAATCAATTTGCACGATGTAAGATGCAAATACAATCATTTAAATGAGAAGCAGCTCGGCATTAATTGGTCTAATGAAGCATTTCTTCAGGCAAATTCAAATATGCGGGTGAACTAACAATCAGGGATTAGATATAAACATTTTAGCGAAACACTGAAGAATGCAGATGCCTGCTACATTTGTACGCACGTACACAATATGTCGCGTGTGCGTTGAAATTGTATTTGCATCTTCGTCGTGCAAAGCATCCTATGGAGAGCTCAAGCTCGAGCTAAAATTATGATTCATGAAAATATGCGCTGGGTTCGAGAAGCCACTTAAACTGAATTGAGTGTTTGAGTTTTAGAGCGAAAAGTCAATTTTAGATTCAACGCCTTCAGAGTGGAATGGAAACGGTGTAATTTCCCGTATTGATAATAAGAAATAAGGAACGATGTAAATGGTATTTACAGTCAAATTGTACATCGCATTCAAAGTGAATTGGTTCAACACCACGATTTGTAGGTAGTTATATAAATTAAAGAATATATTTTTAGTTTAATTGATGATCTCTGTACAAATGACAAGATTTAGACGAAGAAAAAAGAAAAAAAAATCATAAAAAATACGTTAAATGTCCCCCCATATGAAAAACAAACAAACTGCACTCAAAATGCACAAGTGATCTGAACTTATATATTTACCATGTGAATTGATCTTGGAAAAAAATTTGCTATTAAGGTATTAAGTCATTTTAAATGAAACAAATATTATATGTAATATTTGGTGTGTCGATTTTCAACTACTGGAAACTACTATTTGACCATCATTATCAATGTGTCGTGCACATAGTTGTTGATTTACATAATTCAATGTATTTGAATTAATTGAGTGTGGTAGTAGCAATTTTGTCACATGCCATTTTTTTTTGTCATGTCATGTTACAAAAAAGCCAAAAAATTATCAAACATTTGAAGAAGAAGAGGAAAAGTGTGTCATTGAGAGAGCTACTGAGAGAGTTTATAATAACCAAAAACACAAAACTTAAATGGAAATAAATAACAAACCAAAAACAAATGTGTACACTCACAGAAAACAAAGTGACAATCGCATATATACAACACACCGATAGCGTACCAAACTTCTGCTCTTTCTCTGCTATTATTTAATAAGGATTTTTTTTAAGAAGTGTACGAAAAAAAGCAGCAGCAGCAGCAGCAAATGAATTCCAATGGAAATACTCAATTTCAAAAACAAAAACCGATTCGTTTCAATTTCAAATGTCAATGTCACACAACACAAATGAAACATTTATTTTACGTTTAATAACGGTGTTGACCTATTTTTGGTTTATGATTCTATTTTGTTTTTTCTCCGAACATGTGTTTGTTTATGATATGTTACCATTGGTTATTTATTATTATATCCGGTTTTTGCCGCTGCGTTGCGCAATTAAATTCGAGCTTACTGTTACCTCTGTTGTGTTTCAAATGATTAAAGCGCAAATAAAGTTGTAAGTGTTGTTTAGAATTACATAGAAATTGAAAATATATTAGAGTAAGTGAACAGAAAAAATCATTGGATATGATGCAGAGACGTAATGGTGACAATCGACACTATTTTGAAACCGTTAATTTGTTGCACGGTTTTATTTTTGATTCACCAGCCGAATTGAATCGGAATTTGTTTGATGTAAATATTAAAGTAGAAATTGAAATAAGTCCTTTTTAGATGTGAAGGTTTCCCTCTCAACAAATAACAAACAACAGAAGAAAAAAAAATAAGAATAAAACTCTATCTAAATGTGCTTACCTCGCCTGATCAGACCAACATACCAAACATGCATACAGGTTCTTATGCATTTGTACGTTTGGGCAAATCAATTGTATATTTTCAATGTAACAACAAATAAAATTCTATTTTGGCGTTCAAATTTAAATAAACAGCAACCATTTTGTTGTACTTTCATTGTCTTTGACATTTTGAGCAAGGGCCCGAATTATTCGGGATTTCAACAAAAGTAAGTAAAATCATGTTTGATGGTAATTAATTTTTCATTTTATTTCAAAAGTGTGTGTGTTTTTTTTTTCATTTAAAATGAATGTGCAAAGGATCCGGATGAATATCGGTTTGAAATTTGTTTTTGATATGATTTGAGATAGTGTGAAGTTTTTTATGATATAAATGCGTAAACAGTGTGTCGCTTATTCTCCGGTCATCATTTCCATGAATTCTAAAAGAGAGAGCAAATTTGGTGTTAATTACGATTTATTTTTTTGAATTCAAATGGGTCAATTTTGAGGTGAATCGAAGGAAAACGAGTGAATATCTTTCCTCAATAAAGAAATAATTAAAGTGGAAAATGTCTCTTGTTCTCCTTCTAAAGACTAATTAAAGAAAAACTTACCATCAAAGTCGACTGTGCCTGAGCCATCGGAATCGATTTCTTCAATCATACCGTCCAATTCGTGGTCTGTCAATTGGTCGTCCAATTCACGCAAGATTTCTTTCAAGCATGTGGTTGGAATGAAACCGTTACCGTCCTTGTCGTACAAACGGAAAGCTTCTTTCAATTCTTTTTGCATGGCTTCAGCATCTTCTTCAACGATGAATTTGGCAGCGAGTTGAACGAATTCAACGAATTCCAAACGGCCAGATTCTGGAAAAACCAACAAGTCAACCATCGGTTAGTCATTCAATTCCGATGATGCAGAGTGTGTATGCGAGAGGTAAATATTTATATAACTTACTGTCTTCATCGACTTCTTCGATAAGTTCTTCCAAGATCTTCTTGTCGAATGGTTGACCCATAAGACGCAAGATATCGGCTACCAACTCAGTTGAGATACTTCCAGTTTTTTGGGAATCGAAGCTGTTGAATGCCTTTTGAAGAACTGCGGAAAAAAGGAAAGAAAAATCGTCATTTAAAATGTCACGTATTAACCATTGTCGGTGTTTTGTTTTTCAAAAATGATCGAACATATTGGATGGGGATCACACGAGTCATGTAAATTGAGTCTAGTTGGCTCAATGCCCAAAGGAGAACAGCAACAAAAATGGATCGCAAAATTCATGTGAACAGCAAGCGAAACCTACATACAATCGCATTTGTTGATTGTCATGCTACTGTCTACCCAAACCGACCGTACAAAAACATTTTGTTTGTGTTTTTTTTTCTCATCTACAGTCGATGTAAATCACTTATTTCCCGTCAATTTTCATTTCATTTTCTGTTTTCTTATTACATTCTTTTTTCTGTCTGTTTTTGTTTGCGAATGATGATGCATTTTCAATGTGTTTAGTTGTTAATAAACCGATTCGAGTCGACGAATTGCACGCCTATTTCTGGCGGTAGGGCAATAATCTTTCATCCTCATTATGGTGTCATATGTGTTGATGCTTTGTAGTAATTAGTAATTAGTCATTTTACTATTTTGCCCATTTGCGCGAATCGGCTTGTCTCTTAATCGCTTTGGTAATTGCTGAAAATGCGCACATTTTTCGACACACATCATTGAGGTCAACGCTTTTTTCTCGGAATGATGCAAGAAAATGTGACAAAACAGTTCTATTCCAAGAAATGTGTGCGTGTGTTTGAAAAGGTGAAAATTCGGGATATTGCATGACAACGTTGATCTAGTTTTTGTTGTGTCGATTTTGAGAAGTTTTTTTTTCGGGATAGAACTAGTTTGGAAACTTGGGAAGGTTTTGTTGAATTTGCCTTGAATTTTGAGGAATTGCGCGATAAATGGGTGAAATATTTCACCGCCACACCTAAAAATACATCTATTTTAAAACGCGCGAAACGATTAGAATGTGTCACTGTTTTTTTTTTTTTAACTTCGTTTATCATCCGTTGCTGGTCTTATTTTGGTTCCGATTTTCCGACCGTGTATGTGGGTAGAAAATATTCGAAAGTCAGTGGATTCGCTTGGAGATTTCATTTGTTGTTGTTGCTGTTATTGTTGTTCGTTTCTATGTTTCGTCAATATTTTGTTTACACATTGCCGCACATAACCGAGACCGAGACTCAGACGAACTATATAGTCGCTATAATACGTACACATATGAAAAACTTTCGTTCACTTTATTAAATTCGGTCTGATTTGAAGTCGGTTCCAAAAATAACCGACATGATCACATTTACTGAAAAACAACATCGCACTCCACACTTTGATTTTGCTTCGCACATATTCATATTGGGCTATGCCAACCAAACTAAATCAAACGCTCAAAACTAATGCATGATCGACCCATTTTAATTTCTTCGCTTTGAAATTTGTTTGTTCGAAAATATTTACCAACATGCGATTTGTTGAACAACAAAATAAAACGGAAAATATTCAACTAAAGTGAAACACTTACCGGCAATTTGTTCTGGAGTCAAGTCTTCATCCTTTGGTCAACCATGAAATGGGAAAATAATTATGATAAATGAGTTAGATATGCTAACAAGATTTTTTCGCTACGGTTGAATTTGTTTTTTCAGCATTCGATTTGTTTTGATACAAAATACTTTGCACTTGTGTGCAACATTCTTTTCCTCGTTTTTAATTATTTCAACATTCTATTCGTTTAACTTGGAATATATATTTTGATGTCATTTTTCAAAGACCATTTTAAGGAAACACAGCATTTGTTAAACCAGAACGTTCACTGATTTGAATTAAAAAAAAAAAAACAAAAAAAGAAACAAGCACAGAATTTGCATCGTCGCAACAAATCGTCACCGCAATTGGACCGTATCAATTGAAACAAACACCGTTTCTCGACACTCATACTTACAATTTGATCCATTTTGATTTAGTTGATTTTCACAAGTGAAGCGTTAATGAAATTCGTACTGAAAAAAATAGACACAAAAAACCAACAACTTTAATACAAATGACGATCACCAAATGATTTTGAATTTTTGAAGATCACAAGTGAATTAAATGGAGAGAAACTTTTTATAATTAATTTATTATTTGAAAATATTATGAAGAATTTAACAAAAAAACTAAGTTGAAAAAATCCACCAAATAACTTTTAAACTGATAAGAAATGATCTATGAAAAAAAAACCAGAGTGAAAGAAAAGAAGAAACTCCAGTTGAAGAGAAAGGATAGAGAAAGAATTACCGAACTGTCCTGACCACTATTTCGGGCAGCGATCTGTGCTCAACTGACTGATTTTTTAGCAGCGCTACCGATCACATAACGTTTGTTTAGAGTCGTTTTGTGCGTTGTTGTTGCTTGTCTCTTCTTTTCATTCCTTCCTTGCGATTCATCTCTCTCTCTCGCTTTCTTTCGGGTCGGTTGTGTGCCGTCATCATTTTTTAGTGTGCGACGAAATAAAAAAAAAACGCTGAAAAATTATAGCTGTTTTCCACACAGGCTATGAAATGCTAAAATTCTATATTTTTCCTTGTTCGCATTTGTGTGTTTCTCCGTAGTGACGAAGCGGTTAGTTCAAGCGCGCAACGCTTAACTATATGCAAACAGCTATAATTTTTCATGAAATGAAGCGCGCGCGCGCGCTTGAGCGTGCTCACATACTAAAATCTCATTCTATCCTGCTTCGTCTCATGGATTTTCTCTTGCGTTGCGCTATGATAGTGTGCGCGCTGCGCATTTCGACCAAAAATAAAATCATAATCCAGAATCGAGAGCATCTCGCGACTTTCTATGGAACCCACATTCGGCTACACACATGGCGAATAGACTTTGGTGCGTCTCGTTTGTACACACTAAATCACCGAGTCTCGCTGGCTCGCTTGTGATGCCATTTATGTCGGTAATGAAATCAGACATTCGTTTGAACGAAACTTTATATTTACCTACATTTTATAGTCGTTTTTCCCTCCTTCATCTTATTTATTAGGTTATAATTTATCACGGAACACAATGCTAGCCAAACCGATATCGCAACACGGCGTTCGTATATCAGGTGGATCGGGTATGTCGCATCGCCATATCGAAAGGAAAGTTTGCAAATTTGCTGGTTTTTCTATCGCTTGTTGCGAGCTCACTTGCTGCCTCTTACTCACCCACTAATCCATTTTTTCACACTCACTTTGGCTGTGTCTGGCATTGAATTGTTGCTAAATTGCAAGATCTAACTGATTGAAATCCAATAAGAACAGTACAAAGAAGAAAATGCGAATCCATTTTTGAATTGAAATAAAACTTTATTCCATTTAACGTTTATTCGTTGATAATTCGTCATGCCATTGAAATCAGAATTAATATATAACACATACATACAATAATAATTGTCAATAAAATTAGTAAAAAGCTAAAATGTCATCATTTTTTTTGGTTGTTGATTTAAATTTTCTCCATTTAAAATGTTGTCAGTTGAATAAACCATTCCAAACATTGTTGTGAATAACTATTTTTCTTTGTGTTTAATCAATTATATTTGTGTGATTTTTGTTGTTTGTAAATATTTTTTCTGTGGTGGAGTGGTTTGTTTAGAATACATCTGCTTCATATGAATTAAAACGTCAAGAGCGAAAAAAATCAAGATAATACTTTCTCACATCTACAAAATTGTTTTTTTTTTGCATGTCTTTTGTTTTTTTTTCTGTTTCAAATGAGAAATAAATCTATCGAGAACAACAAATTTTCATGTACATTTGGTTTGTCAATACATAATATAATAATTCACAACGGAAAAAAGGACAGACACGTGAGGATTGTCATGCATATTTTAAATGTACGTTCTGCATCAATTTGTGTGTATGTTGTTGTTGTTTGTTTTCATTTAATTAAATAACCATTTTTACAAAAATGCTTTGCTAGTGTTTATAAACTAATGTTAAAATTGTTATTTTTTATTCGCTTTTTAAATTCACGTTCATCATTGATTTTATTTTGTCTGTGTTGAATATTACTTTTGTGTTTCTGTTTTTGGCTTTTAAAGATGCTAATGGCACAAAAGCAGTATTCAACATGCGAGTGATTCAATGAAACGTTTGAACATCAACGTTTTTAAACCGGCGGGGTGGAGAATTGTGATCCTAAACCACTGGTCTATTGACCATTGCTTCTGCATTGGCAAAAAAGCCACTGTTTTTGAACTGCTGTTGTTGGTTCTTCTCTTTGCTTTTATACATAAATTTAATAATCGAATGAAAGCAATAACATAAATAGTATATGCACTTAGTAGAATTGCTATGAACAATCGCTTCGTCACTGTAGTATCAATCGAATTATCAGCTTAGGATGATTCACGATCGGCTCATTCATATTAATCGTTTGTTTGTTTGTTTTTTCTGAACTACTTTAAAGTTTATTGTTCCATAGGAAAGCTCTCACAAGTACAAGAGGTAAGTTTGTGTGTGATTACAGTGCACGTAACGGTGTATTTGGGAGAAAAAAATTGCGTTTTGATTCACTTCTTCGATTGGCCCAAATTATATTTAATCAAACTAACAATTTAATGTGTTTTTGTTGCATTATTCATTGTTCTAAGCTAGATAAAATGAGCCTTATAAATTATTGCTTGTGGACTCTACGAGTCTAAAAATGTGACCGTATTGCATAATTTTGTTTGTCTCGATCAGCTTGAATTGGTCTCTATCGATGAAATACCGTCTCTTGCCAGTTTGCTTTTGTTTTTCTTGGTTTTTATCCATTTCAAACGGTGAATTGAAGCCTTTGGCGATGTTTTGATTTCGGTATTTTGTGATGGTGTGCTTTACAGGAGAGATTGAAAGATTGTTGGTAATTGTATTGAAAAAATGTCGAAGAACATCCCAGGAAGGTACGTTTCAGAAATTCCCAACCTTTAAAGCATGAAATCACAAAGTACAGACACCGAAAAAAAAATCGTCACTGGTCACTTTCATTCTAAACGATGCAATTTTTCTATTGTTGTAGTTTGTTCAGTAAGAAAATGAGTAGTTTTGCGTGTTTTATTTGTTTAAATCACAAAATATGGTAGGATAAAATTTGAACGGAATCAAATGGAGTGTGAAATACAAAGGAACTGAGAAAATTGATTAAAAAACCAACAGATTTTTGGCAATTTGTCGTGTGTTGCCATAGAACACAATATACAATACGGTTCAACACTGAGTTTATAGGTTTGTTCTAAATTTTATTTGATTTAAATCTTTACACAAAGACTCAAAGAGGGGATTGTGTATGTTATTGCTATAAGTGTTTCATTTTTTTTGTATTTCTTTTACTTAAGGCTTGCATTTGTCTAAAACAGTAAAAAAAATTGCTCATACCATAGGCAGTTCGTCCGTTTCGAAATCATAGCGCAATGTATTCGTTTTTCCTTATCGAGTTTTCTTGCTTCATGCAGACAGGAAACGGGAAATGCAACAATTATTCAACGTCGTGCGTTTAAATACAATAAAATATCTATCGAGTGTTTAATGTGTACTTGTGTGTGAGTGAGTGTTTTCTTCTATTTAGACTTGTGTTATTCCATTCGATCTTCAATCACAGTTTCAAACTCGGTTCGTTCTTACGCAAAATACAGGAGATCCAGCGAATCAAATAAATTGTTTTTAAATATATACTTCAAAATATATACAATGAACATTTTTTGTTGATTGATTTTTGATTTCTTTTACTTTTTCAATATTACAAGTTTAAATAAATGTTGAATAACAAAATAAATCAAGTGACAATTGAATGAATTTAAATAATGTCACTTGATTTTCGTTAATTGTTTTTGGTTGTAAAAATTAGTTTTAAAAAACATGGGTGCAACGATCAAATTGATTAATGGAGATAGAAAAAAGCGATTTGAAATTTAGTGATTATTATTAAAAGAAAAATTTCGCTTTTCTCGAGTAAAATCCCGAAAAAATGTCACGCAGAAAAAATATTCAGCCAAAGTTGAGCTGATTGCTAATTCGTTTTTCTTTTTTTTTTCGTCTTTTAATGCAAATGCATAATTCCATGGGCAATTTTATTATCCCTGTGCTTTTATGAGTATTCAAGTATAAACAAAGCCAAACAGTAAAATAGCATTATTTTTCTTGTCGTTCTTAAAATGTCGAATAATACAAATGAATTATCATAATGTTAAAATTTTGCGATTTTCTTTTTTTGTGTGTTTTTTCTCTTAAATGAAAGATCATAATCACGATAATGAAAATTATTAACCTATTAATCAAAGGGATATCGCAACTTTTTTGACCAGAGAAAACGCCATCTCACGTCGTGCCCGTAAATTATTTTACTGTACATTTAGATGGTAGAGCTTGAAAAAAAAGTTCGACACTATGCATAAACTTGGAAAGAGCTTGATAAACTTGATGAAATACATATATTTTATGGTCGTTGCAATACCCCTATGCTATTAATCATGTAAAATACAAATTAATTAAATCGAATGTCACTAAATCTAGTTGTTTTTTTCTTCTGTTATTTAATATATGTCAACACTCATTCATTTTATTCTGTTGAGATCTCAATGTGAAAATTATGTAGTTGTCATAGTTGTTCTTATTCTTTTCTTTTCTTTTTGTGTCCAAATAATTTCTGCAATAAGATCGATTAATCCAAAGTCAGTCTTTTATCTAAATAAGAAATGATTAGAACTCGAATCAAAATTAGGTAACTAAAAGCGCTGAAACACGTTGTTGGGCTGTTGCGAAAAGCTGAATAATATATCTCAAAATAAATATATGTATATCTCTTAATGTGTGTTTGTCCCTCTCTCTCTTTCTCTCTCTCTCTTTCGCTATCTCTCGCTCGCTCGCTTGTTCGATCATTTTCATTTTTTCTGTACACCTCTTTCATTTTCGTTTGTTTTTTTTTGCATCTCTAGTGGCTGGTAGGTTCGTCGTGATATGCGTCCGTTCGCACTGGCTTCGGTACGGTGAAATGGCCATGGCTTGCGTTTAAACTAAGTGATCGTGTGGTTTTTGTCGCATGAATAACATTCGGTGGAGAATACGATTCCGTTGATTTTGATTGAGTTGCCGACGGCGGCGAGTCGGTATCGATTTCAATGGTTTTGTTGATCGCTCGCTGGGGCTGTGTCAAACTGTCCGATGGCATCGAATTGTCAATGTCATCCTCATCGGTGCAACTGTGCGATGAAATGCAATCCTGTTGATTTCGCGCTCTTGCTCGTAGCGAGTGTTGCAATCGTCGCAGGAATCTGTGCCAATTCGAATTGATGAAATGAGAAGATAAAACAAACGAAAATACTCGTGACACATTGTCTCGCACAAGTTGAACTTAAAGTGTGAAAATCTTACCTGATTTGATTTCCGATCGCTCGAAGCCGATTTATTTTTCTCGGTCTAACGACCATCGCCACCTCAGTCCTCGTCTGAGGTTGCGGCTGCGATTGTGTCAACGCCTGCTGTTTCGTCGTGTCCTTCAGAAAACCACAGAAATGAAAATGACAAAAAGGCGAACATCAGTGAAAACAACGGAAAACTTAGTCAAAACCTTGATTGAACAGATAGACAACCTTCATGACATTCGATCAAAAAAAAAAAATGAAAATGTTTTTTACTTTCCAAAATTGCTACTAATCTATCGAAGTTGAGGGTAAAAAATCTAAATCTTGGTGAACAAATATTATATATCGAACCAACTCTTTATCAACAGTTTTCCAAATCGGAATCCCATCTTCAATTACACTGACATGCGAATAATAAATCCAGAATGGCTTTAAAACAAAAACAACAAAAGGAATAGAAAACTATAACGGAATGAGAAAAACAAAACTGAATGTAAAATAAACATTGATTTGGAAGGCAATCAATGGAGAGACTCATTTAATATTCAAACTTGAAACGAATACAACAACAAAGTAATTTTCTACAACACAAAAACAGAACGACAACGTCAATAGCGCAAATACCTTTTCATAATCGTTTTCAGTGCGTTTCAAAGACTTTCCTTTTAAATAAAGTCCGAATCGGGCTAAATACAGCAAATAACAAATAGGTTTTGTTTAAATTTGGATTTCGTGCTCAATTTCCGTATTATTCATTTGAAGAAAATAAAAATCTTTCGTTTATTATCAAAATGTGTGTGCTTTTGAAGCAGCGGGTTCGATGTCCTTACCTTTTGTATCAGATGTTAGGCTTTCGGTTGACGATGAACTGCTGACAATAGTATATCGTTTGAGCGGCCGTTTCTTTGGACTTTTCCGAACTTGAACGTTTTGCGTTGGCTGTTGATTTGGATGGGCCAGATGATTTGATTCCCTGTGCAACAGATCACTCGAGTTGGTTTTAGTGGGTGACGGTGCTAATGGAGCTGAAAACCATGAAAAATCTCATTCTTTTGCTAAATTCTAATCATTTTAAAAATCGTCCCAAATTTACCTCCTCTTGACAGTTTTCTTTCCCGCTTACGCGCGTTGCTCTTTTTGCAAAGTGGTTCTTTGGTCGAATTTCCTTTGCCATCGGATGAGGGAAAATCGTACAGCCCGTCTGAGTCTGTGAATGGAAGGATCTGTTCCTTGCGACTGTAAAAGTGTGGTGAAAATCGATTGGCTCCGGTTCGTTCGCTGTAAAACCAAATTCGCAATGAAATAATGTCAAAATGGAGATTTATTCCACATTTAGCTACCTAATTGGACTCTCTGAGCGCGATGAAACTGGTGATACTTTGTCGTTACCCTCACTTTGAATCAAAATCGTTGGCAGTTGAAGCTGTGACATGGTCGGTTGATCTTCGGACATTATTTTCTTTCCCGAATCAAGCAATTCTTTTTCGATGAAATTTTCCAAATCTTTGGCATTTTTCGAATCGGCCGCCTCGGTTTTGTCTTCGATGTGATCGGTTCCGATGCCCTCGTCGTTTGACTCCACTAGTACATCATCGGACAGCGTTTCGGAATCGGAGCGCGTTTTGTTGCGTCCATGTTGATCGATCGAACCACTACCACTTGAGCAATGTCCATACGAATTGTCGCCTGATTTGCCGTTTTGCATTGAGTTCGATCGATTTTTTCGGAATTTCGTATTCGATCCATTCGATGGTCCGCCATCGTCGGTATCATTCGGATAGAGATTACTCGATCCACAGCGTGATGGTGCCGGGCTGGCCATTGACGAGTAACCGGATGAAGACAGATTGCTTTCGGATATCGTGCGATCACTTCGGCTGACCGATGAAAATGGACTCAAATAGCACATATCGTTGCGTGGTAGGCCCAATCCTTGGGTGGGACATTTTATATTTGCCGGTGACATTGTATCGGTGTCGTTGGTATCGGATTCCATTTCCGTCATGATTGCATTTATTGTTATTGTCGGTGGACTAAAGGGAAGCTCAAGCGTTGCGGGTGGTTTGTTTACGTTGAACGATGGTCTTTAAAAATCGTTAGAGAATCAATCATCTTCACATCTTATGCACAAACACACACACACACACACACACACACACACACACACACACACACACA